CAGCCGCTTAACCAACTGAGCCACCCAGGCGCCCTATTTCACAGTATTTAAAAATAAATTACCTTAAAATCAATCTTTGACCTAAATACAGAGGTAAAACTTGAAAATTCTTAAAAGAAAACGAAGGAGTATACAAAAAGATCAACAAACAAGTTTACACTTCAAGGAAAAAGAATAAAAACAACACCACCACCACTTTTCCCAACATTAGAAGAAAGGAAATAATAAAAAAGCAGATGTCTTCTTTGGAAAAATGTTTGTTCATGCCCATTTTTTGGATTGGATTATTTTGGATTATTTGGTTTGGGGGTTCAGTTTTACAAGTTCTTTGTATATTGTGAATACTAAACCTTTATCAGATCTATCATTTGCAATTATCTTCTCCCATTCCATAGGCTGTCTTTTAGTTTTGTTGATTGTTTCCCTTGCTGTGCAAATCTTTTTTAAGTCCCAGTAGTTTATTTTTAAAAAACAGCTTCTGTTTCCCTTGCCTCAGGAGACAAATCCTCAAAGAAGTTGCTACAACCAATGTCAAAGAAGTTACTTCCTGGGTTCTCTTCTAGGACTTTATACTTTCAGGTCTCACATTTAGGTCTTTAATCCGTTTTGATTTTATTTTTGTGTATGGTGTAAGAAAGTGGTCCAGTTTTCCCAACACCATTTGTTGAAGAGATGAAGAGACTGTCTTTTTCCCGTCGGATATTCTTTCTTGCTTTGTCGAAGATTCACTGATGGTATAGTTACGAGATCGTCTATGGGTTTTCTAATCGGTTCCGCTGATCTGTGTCTATTTCTGCTCCAGTACCATACTGTGTTGATCACCACAGCTTTGTAATATAACTTGAAGTCCAGAATTTTGATGCCTCCAAGCTTTGCCTTTCCTTTTCAAGATTGTTTTGACTCCTTGGGGTCTTTTGTGGTTCCACACAAATGTTAGGATTGTTTGTTTTAGTTCTGTGAAAAATGTATTTTGGTATTTTGATAGGGATTGCATTAAATGTATAGACTGCTCTGGGTAGTATAGACATTTTAACAATATTTATTCTACCAATCCAGGCGGGAGGTTGGTAGGGGGACTGGTTAAATGGGTGATTGGGATTAAGGAGTGCACTTGTCATGATGAGCACAGGGTGATGTATGGAAGTGCTGAATTACTAGGATGTACATCTGTAACTAATATAACACTATATGTTAACTAGCTGGAATTAAAATCTTACAAAAATTGAAGCAGAAATAAATGAAATAGGGAATAGGAAAAAACAGAAATTATTAACAAAAACGATAGCTGGTTCTTTGAAAAAATTAAAAAATTGATAACTTTTCGCTAGATAAGCAAGAAAAAAGAGGCTCAAATAAGTAAAATTATAAGTGAATACGGAGACATTACAACTGATCCACAAAAATACAAAGGATCATTAGAGACTGCTATGAATAACAATATACCAAAAACTTGACAACCTGGAAGAAATTAGTATATATATATATATTTTAAAGAATTTATTTATTTACTTTAGAGAGAAAGAGAGTGAAGTGAGGGGCGAAGCAGGGGCAGAGAGGGAGAGAGAAAGAGAGACAGAGTCTCAAGCACACTTCACACTGAGTGCAGAGCTCAATATGGGACTCCATCTCACAATGCTAAGATCATGACCTGAGCCGAAATCAAGCTTAACTGACTGAACCACCCAGGCATCCCAGAAATGGGTACATTCTTAAAACACACAACCTACCAGGACTGAGTCATGATAAAATAGAAAATATGAACAGATCAATAGCAAGTAGAAACTGAATTAGTCCCCAAAAGAAAAATCCCAGAACCAGGTATCTTCAGTGGTGAATTCTGCCAAATATTTTCAAAAAACTAACGTTAATCCTTCTCAAGCTCTTCCAAATTATTGAAGAACAGGTAACATGCCCAAACTCATTGTGCATGGCCTATATCAAAGTCAGATAAGGACACTACAAGAAAACTACAGACCAGTATCTCTATAGACCTATATCTCTACGTACAGACCAATATATAATGAATATAGAGGGAAAGATTCTCAACAAAATACTAGCAAACCAAATTCAGTAGCACATTAAAAGCTTCACACCCTATGATCAAACAGGATTCATCCCTGGGATGCAAGGATGGTTCAACATATGCAAATCAACAACTGTGATGTATCACATTAACAGAATGAAAAATAAAATCCCATGATCGTCTCAACTGATGCAAAAGTATTTGACAAAATTCAATAGCCATTCACAATAAAAACCCCTAATAAATTTGGTATAAAGGAAAGTACTCCAATATAATAAAAGCCATATATGACAAGCCCACAGCTAACACCATACTCAATGATAAAAAGTTGAAAGATTTTCCTCTAAGATGAAGAACAAGATAAGGGTGCCTACTCTCACCATTCCAATAATAGTATTAGAAGTCCTAGCCCGAGCAATCAAGCAAGAGAAAGAAAGAAAAGGCATTTGAATCAAACACAAATAAGTAAAACTGTCTCTGTCTGTAGATGATGTGATCTTATATATAGAAAACCCCAAAGACTCCACTAAAAAACTTGTCAGATCTTATAAATGAATCTAGTAACCTTGTGGGGCATAAAATCAACATACAAGTATCAATTGCATTTCTATACAATAACGGCACATCACCTTAAAAGAAATAAAACAATCCCACTTATAATAACATCAAAAATAATAATATGCTTAGGAATAAATTTAAACAATAAGGTAAAAGATCTGTACACTGAAAATAGTAAGATATTGATAACAAAAACTGAAGACTCACAAATAAATAGAAAGATATCCCATGTTCATGAATTTAAAGATTCAACATTGTTAAAATGTCCACACAACCCAAAGCAATCTATGGATTCAATACAATCTCTATCAAGATTCCACCAGCATTTTTTACAGAAATTAAAAAAATACTAAAATTCTTATGGGACCACAAAAGACCCTCAATAGCCAATGTGTTTCTGAGAAAGAGGAAAACTAGAAGCAGTACATTCTAATTTAAATGTATATTACAAAGGTATAGTAATCAAAACAGTATGGTACTGGCATAAAAACAGACACAGATCTATGGGAGAGAAATGAGAGCCCAGGAAATAAACCCATCCATATAAGGTCAAAGGAGCCAAGAATACTCAATGGAGAATAGGTAATCTCTACGATAAGTTGTACTGGGAAAACCAAATAGTCAGTCACATGCAAAAGAATGAAACTGGACTCCGATCTCACACCACTCACAAAAATTAATTTGAATTGGATTAAAGATTTAAATGTAAGACAAACCATAAAATTCCTAGAAGAAAACATACAAGAATGCTCCTTGACAGTGAATATGGCAATGACTTTATGAATAGGACACCCAAAGCACAAACAATGAAAACAAAAAACATGTGGAACTACATCAAACTAGAAAAGTTCTTCACAGTAAAAGAAACAATTGTGTGTGTGTGTGTGTGTGTGTGTATCCATACACAATGAAACAGTATTTAGCCATGAAAATGAAGGAAATTCTGACATTTGCAACAAAGTGGATGAACCTTGAGGTTATTGTGCTAAGTGAAATAATTCAGACAGAGAAAAATAAATACTTATGATCTCACTTATACATAGAACAGACAAAAGCCACTCACAGGAAGAGAACTGATTGGTGGTTGCTGGGGTAGCAGGTGGGGCCTGAGGGAAATGGATAAAAGTAGACAAAGGGTATAAACTTTATATATATTTGTACATACACACACACACACGAAATCCTTACATTGTACTTCTTAAACTTACATACTGTTATATGCCAATTATTTCAATAAAGCTGGAAAGAAAATAAAAATTGGGCAAAGGACTTGAATATACTTTTCTCCATAAAATATACCCAAATGGCCAAGAAGTACATGAGATGTTTAACATCATTAGTCATTAGAAAAATGCATATCAAGCCCACAATGCCTCATTTCTATTGTATATCATATCTTTTCTCTCATGGGTTCAACTTTACTTTCAAGGTCTTCTAAGGACTATTAAATGCCTATTAATAGCACCTATTAAACACACTGGGTACAAAGACCTCATAATTCTTATGAATGCTAATAGTGAGTCCTTGAAGAGCTAAAGAAAGAGTCTAACTGTGATACTTTGTCTCAGGGGCTACAGACTCACTTCCAAAATTTTTCTGAAGAAGGAGAAAAGTAGTAAAGAAGATAAAAGACAGTGCAAATGGGGTTTAACTCTTGTTTTTTCTCCTGTAAAGCTTCACACCTCTCAGTTGTGTCTAAAAATTCAATCGCTGATGGCCAAAAAACCAAACCAAAAAAACCCCCCAAAAACAAAACAAAACAAAAAACCAAAACCCAGAAAATTGGAGAAATGGGTGAGTACAATCCAACATCAGCAGCAGAGGAATCAAGGACAGAGTAAGGAGGAAAGGAAAACAGCAAGCAATATCATTTGAGATGGAAAGAGGATGGAGTCCTATTGCCAGGGGGACCCAATAAAAACATATGGATAGTTATTCCACAGTGTTTATTCATAAACAGGCCCTTTATAAATATACATATAGGTACAAAATCAATTCTTTGTTTTCAAGAAAACCTTGGGCCCCCACTCTGCGCTGTTATTAGGAAAAGCACAGTAAGCTGTTAAAATGGTCCTTCTGGTCTATAACATTAACTCACGTTATTAGAATCAGGTGCTTTTACAAATTAAATCTTTGTAACAGCTAAGTATCAAGATAGGCATTTCTTTATACCAAATTCTATTCTTTAGTAAATTACCACAGCAAGGTTTAGTTATTTGAGAGTGCCAACATTTCATTAAGTACGAGAATCAGTAGAATTTTATTTTGGGGCCTATCAGAATTACGTCAAAGCAGAGAACACGAAACATATTCAGAGCTATAACGTTTATTTTCAAAAAATGCTGCACGTAATTCACACGTCTTCAAAATTTGCTTTTTGTTTTCAATTCGTTTTCTTTAAAGAATTATATATACTTACCTGAAAATGTAAAGAACAATTCATTTTGCAAACCAGCTCTTTGCATCTTAACACGATGGCATTCTGACTTCAGTAAAGAAACTTCACATGAAAGGTCAAGAACCAATTTGCTTAAAATCTGAAGAAGTTTCTTCTCAAAAGAAATGTTATAGATACTATTGCAGGGAGCTGCATGATATCGAGCTGTGAACTGGTAATAATAATGAGGCTCACGATAAGCTGCAAAAAATTAAGGAATAACACAAAAATGGTCATTTAAACAATTAAAATATATTGCAACTACTAAAAAGAAATCATTACTTGGAGTAAGTTCATAATGTTCTTATATCCATCCTGCAGAAACTGAGGGATACAGGGATTGTGTCACATGCCCAATGCCTATGGAATAAAAACTAAGATTCTGGGTGCCTGGGTGGCTCAGTCGCTTAAGCGTCCAACTCTTGATTTCGGCTCAGGTCATAATCTCAGGGTTGTGAGGTTGAGCCCCTATCAGGCTCTGCGATCAGCAGAGAATCTACTTGAGAGTCTCTCCCTCTCCCTCTGCCCTTCCCCCCTACTTGCTCACGTTCACTCTCTCTTCCTCTCTCAAAAATAAATACATCTTTAAAAAAAAAAAAATCAAAACTAAGATTCTAACCAAGAAGCCTGCCCCATACACAGTTTGTGCCCTTAACCAATACAATATTCTTCCTCAAACTTAGGAATGAAATTTCTCAAAGTTTAAATATTCATTTTAAAATAAACAACAGGATGCCTGGGTGGCCCAGTCAGTTAAGCGTCTGCCTTCGGCTCAGGTCATAATCCCGAGGTCCCGGGATTGAGTCCTGCATCGGGCTCCCTGCTCAGTGGGGAGTCTGCTTCTCCCTCTGCCTGCCGCTCCTCCTGCTTGTGCTCTCTCTCTCTGTGTCAAATAAATAAATAAAATCTTTGGGGCGCCTGGGTGGCTCAGTCGTTGAGCGTATGCCTTCGGCTCAGGTCATGATCCCAGAGTCCTGGGATCAAGCCCCGCATCAGGCTCCCTGCTCTGTGGGAAGCCTGCTTCTCCCTCTCCCACTCCCCTTGCTTGTGTTCCCTCTCTCACTGTCTCTCTCTGTCAAATAAAATCTTTAAAAAAACAAATAAATAAATAAATAAAAAATAAATAAATAAAATCTTTAAAAACTAACTAAATAAACAATAGTCCTGTAATTACCAACTATAGGCAGAAACTAGTATGTTTCTCATAAATCTACCAGTTTTACTGAGTTCCATTACAATATCTGAAACTGAGAACATTTTTTTCTAACCATTTTAAAATCTCACCGAAATGACAGGAAAAATATAAAAATGGTAAGAAATCCATCATAATTATATACATATTATGTAACCACATTCTCTGACACAATGACATCAAAATAAAAATCAACAATGAAAATCTGTCAAACATTTTAAAATAAAATACTACTATATAACAAATGGCATATACCGTAAAGTAATGATGATTGAAAATATTATTAAAACAATTATAGTAACGTGACATGACAGTTGGAGAAACGGTACAGCCCACTTCCCAATGAAAGTGATGTCAATTGTTTTTAGAAGACAACCATTTATAACCTCTGGAAATGGTCCTAATGTAAGCAGAAAGAGACAGGGGTTCCCGGAAAAAGAAAGACATAGCTTTCTGGGCATAAGAAAAGTGATCTCAGGCCCCAGCCGTCTTAGGAAAGCTTATAAGAATGAACAGCCTGTACTAGACCAGGAGACAGCCTAATGATACCAGGAACAATAAATTAGTGATAAAATTTCCAGTGCTAGTTAGTTATGACAACTATCTCAATTAATTATGAGCAGACAGCAGTTCACTGCATTTTATTCTATCACCACTCTTTAGAAGAATCTGTGCTAAAACTTCAAAGCTGCAAAAGAGCTGAGAGATCTAGTCCAAGCCATTCACTTTGTGGACTTGCACACTATTGCTCAGGGAATGCAAAGGGATTTAAACACATTCTTTTGGGTGAGAGTAGGGGAAATGAGGCACCACCCAGGAGGTGAAATGACATTTGCCAGGAACACAATCCTCGACCACCCCACGGGCTGGCGGCTGAGGCCCTGGTTGGGGAGGAAGAAGTGTGTACGAATTAGGGAAGGCTAAATATTTTCTTGTAGTAACCAGAGCCAGCAAATGGTCATCAACTATTATTTACTACTTTTCTGATAACAGAAATAATCTTTGTGGAAGGACAAACAAAAAATTTGTTAAGCAAACAAACAACCATACCAACTCCCAGTGCTGATTCAAAAGTGAAGTCTGGCCTGACACATACCCGTGAGTTACCTTCGTAGGATCTAAACCCCTCTGAGCACTCAGACTCTGGACCCACCAGAGCCAGAGACCTAATGACGCCCACCCCTACTGGTCCTCGGGACGTTGACCTGGACTCTGCCACCCTAAGACGACTTTTTGCCCAACTCCAATCTGTATTCCCTCTTGAGCAAGCCTCGTCATAAATATGGATGCACCCTCAGCCAAAGCTTCCCCAATTTTATTGTTCTAGGAGACACTGCTGTGGGAAAGATCCCTGATGTTCTCCTTACTCATTCCAAGTAGAACCTTTCCTTTTCCTATTCTTTGGCTCGGTTGTGTCTTTGGGCTCCACACCCACCAAGGGGGGAACTGAGTTTGGGGTAACACTAGGGCAAAGAAAAAAGGGAAAAAGCGTTTGTTCCAGAAATCTACTAAAAGTCAGTAAGAACAGTGAAGAGTCTGAGGAGTTGAAGCCAGACCTCCCTCCCCCGCTCCCTCCCCTCAGCTAGATGGAAACTCCACCGCAGACTAGTGCAGACAGGAATGCAGGGGCGCCCTCTTCCCCCAGCTCCCAGACAGCAGCCTCCCAGGAGGGGCAGGAGGTCAGCATTTCCCCTGCTGACCAGAGCTACCTGTTGCTGAAGTGAACTTGCAGGTGATACGGTGGAGAGGGGATGACTCCCTTCGTCCAGTCATCAGCACTTTGCGAGACAGAGGCTCAACACTGGCTGCAGCAATGCTGAGAATCCTGGGGCCCTCACAGCCCCTGCCCAGTTTATGGTATGAGGGGGTCCACACCAGGAGCAGCAAACGGAGGAGTCCCAGGGATGCCACTGCTACCCCTCCACCAAGCGCTAAGCAACTAGAGCAGGGTGGCACTCAGCGGGAGCACACCACTGTCCCCACCCTCAGCCCAGGGGCTGCGGGTCAGAGAATTTGCCAAAGGGGGTTGGCAGGCTGTAGAACACAGAGCTCCGAACCTTTTCTCAAAGGAACAGAAACCACTTGAGATACAGTGCAGGGAAGTTTGAACCTCAGGGTAGTCTCAAAAACAGCAGAGGTCAGGGGCGCCTGGGTGGCTCAGTCGTTAAGCGTCTGCCTTCAGCTCAGGTCATGATCCCTGGGTCCTGGGATCAAGCCCTGCATCTGGCTTCCTGCTCTGCAGAGAGCCTGCTTCTCCCTCTCCCTCTGCCTGCCGCTCTGCCTACTCTATCTCTCTGTCAAATAAATAAAATCTTAAAAAAAAACAAACAAACCAGCAGAGGTCTTGTGAAAGACAACCGGGAAAACTTTTATAGATTCATTGGATATATAGGTGAATAAAAGCCTGCCTAGTTTGTCAGAGAGCAACACTGGAAAAGTCAGCTGGGAGGAGCTATCCCGGGGTCAGAAAAAATCTCAAACACTGACCTGGGAAATATCCCTTCAAAGGAACCCAAATTTAACTGGATCAGTCTTCAGAGGAATTTATGCCCAGGGCATTGTTAAAAACAAAAGATCCATCGTACTGCTGTGGGTACACCCACGCTGCACCTTCCTAAAACAAACAAGGGTGGGTGGGGGGGTGGGCGTGGGATGTCTTCGTGTTATGGTGGGTGAGAAATGAACTTCACAGAAATGATGTAGGCACTTGCTCAGCAAATAAACATGAAATAATTATCACAAGCCTGGGGAGGGCAGGGGTGTGGGTCACTACCCAGAGTTCCTACGCTATCTAAAAAGTTCAGTTTCTGGAAAAAATTTGAGTCAAGCAAGGAAACAGGAAAGTATGACTCATGTACTGGAAAAGCTAGGGAACAGTAACCACTTGTGAGAATGATCAGATATGGGATTTAAAAGATAAGTATTTCAAAGCATTCATCATAAATATGTTAAAACAGGCACCTAGGTGGCTCAGTTAGTTGGGCATCTGCAGTTTTGGCTCATGTTGTGATCTCATTGTCATGAGATCGAGCCTCATGTCAGGCTCCACACTGAGCACGGAGCCGGCTTGGGATTCTTTCTCTCTCTCCCCCTCTGCCCCTTCCCCTGGCTCACGCACATAAAAAGAAAGAAAAGTTAAAATAACTAAAGGAAATTATGATTAAAGACAGAAGGCATAATGACAATCTCACATCAAATAGGGAATATCTATAAAGTAAGAATTATAAAAAATGAACCACGTGGACATACTGCAGTTGAAAAATGAAAACACTGAAAGGAGAAATGGACCAAGGGGCTCAGCAGATGTGATCTGGCCAAAAAATGAATCAGCTAAAAGAAGTTCTTCAGACTGAAAGAACATGATCTCAGTCAATAATGTGAATCCACACCAAAAAATAAAGTGCTCCAGTAAAGGTAATTATGTAATTATGAAGACAGTGTAAGTGCATATTTCTTCTACTTTTTTCCTCTTTCCAGATTTAAAAAGCAGTTGTATCAAAGAATCTGTATACAAGGTACCATTGGTCCCCATGTATGGGGCTACAAAAATGACTACAGATGGTAACTTGATACATGGGAGCAAATGAAAAAAATAAAAAATGATCAACAAGAAGACAGATAAAACAAAACCTATAAACATACACCCTCTCGCCTTTCTATTTCTGGCTTCTCAGAAACTATATGAAACTATATAAAATAATAACTATGTATTGTTAGTTGTGTAACATTTACAAATATAACATGTACAATATTAATACCACAAAAAGCAGGAAAAAGGAATATATATACATAAGAGTAACATTTCTATAACTCACTGGAATTAAGTTAGTATAAATGTCAAGGTGACTGTGATAGGTTAAAATATATGTGGTATGTATCAGAACGGTCAATAAAGGAATAACTCAAAAATATATAGTGAAAAATCATTAAATAAATTAAAATGCCACATTAGAAAATGTGCATTTACTTCAAAAGAATTAATGAAAAATAGAGGAACATTCATGAAACA